CTCTCTCTCTCTCTCCTCCCCTCCCTCTGTTTCTGTCTCTCGGTGTCCCGGGGCGTCTTTGGAGTTGAGTGTGCTGCTCGGCACCGGGTATACTTCAAGACTTCCAGGGCGTTGAGCTGTCTCAGACGGGATGACCTGGAGCAGCAACCAACCTGACTCGGACGTGAGGCTTTCCTGGTCAATCCCAAGTGACTGCTTTCGCAGCTGACACGAAGACAAGCGCTCAGAAGCCTAAACTCTGAGCCCCAAACCCCTGACCCCTAATTGCTAGATCAGCTTGGCTTGATCCAGTTCAGCCTGTGGGCACTGACGGAGACTCCTGCGCTGCCAGACGTAAACTCGGCAGGCTTCGAGACTAGCTTGGCAAGACTACCAGTCTTCTTGGGTGTCGCGCAGTCCCGTTGGTATTGAAAGCGCTGCAGCAATGTTACTGGTACTATTAACAGTATCAAGATTACAAACTATGTTGCTACTATTCAGATGTCTCTTATTTTCATACCATTCACATATTTGTGTAAGATTCTTGCAAGTATTCCGTCCCAAGACAAGGCGTCCTTCTGGTCGTGATCGGCATCTGCCACTGGAACGCCTGCATCTTCTGGCTGGTGGGTCTCGATCGTAACTTGTGCCTCTGCCTACAACCCAGGTTCGGGTTTAGGGTTTAGGGTTCAAGGGGGGCCTGAAGCACTAGTAAGTATCATTATTATTCCTTAGGATTTTTGTTAGCAACGTAATAACTAGACAGTGTACACCCAAAACTTTGCGGACCTCCTTCGGTGATAGTCGGTGATTCATGGTTTGGTCTGTGTAGGCGAGGCCTTCTTTCCGGGAGCATCTTCGAGGCTGGCTCTACATCTGTTTGTGTTCACAGCCTCGCAAGAGCTGTCATGTCAAGGGGGATCTAGGGCGGGTACCGACGGTGTTTTTGCATCTGCTGCTTCGAACAGCGTCTTCTGATTCTGATCTTCCAGGGTTTAGGGTTTGGGCTGCGGGGTGTCTTCATTTTTGTGGCAGCCGCTTCTGACGCCCTAGAGCGGGCTGCATGTCTGGTAGTATAGAAGCCTGTGTAATACTGATGACCGATTATTAGTAGTATTCCCTCATCATAATTCTAGTATAACCCTAGAATCTAAACCCTACATCGTAAGCCCCAAACCCAATGTCCTGAACCCCTCAACCCTTATAGTAACCCTAATGTAGTGGATCCCGACAAGGAAACCCTGTAGATAAATAACTGAGCAGTAGCCCCTGGCGACCTCTGAGGTTTACAGAGCTCATGAGCGACGAGGCGTTAGCTGAGTATGCCGCAGGGTCACGCGGCTGTCCCCCAAGTTGAAGGTTTTGGGGCTTTAGGGTTTCGTTGACCCTAAACCCTAGGCCCAAGATCCTAAACCTGGGTTTAGGATTTAGGGTTTNNAGGGTTTAGGGTTTAAGATCCTAAACTTAGGGTTTGGGGTTTGGGTTCTTTAGATCGAGGGTTCGGAGCCTTCGGATCCTCTCTCGGATCTGGGGCTTAAGGATTTGGGATCTTCAGGGTTCAAAGGATCTAGGGGTTTGAGCTCCGAAGGCTGAGATCCTGAAACGAAACCCATGTAGTTTTCGGCGAAAGATTCGCAACGTCGCCGTGTCAGAGACCGTCATCTCTCCCTGCTGTAAGTGCGCGGCTTTTGGGGCTGGGGTCCCTGTCGTGCAAAGCTTTTTTACTTGAGAATAGGGTTTAGGGTTTAGGTCTGTAGTGATTGCACAGAACACCCTGTGCGGAAGGCTTCCACTTGAACCCGGAGTGTCGAACGCCCCGTGCCAAGACCAAGAAACCCCAAAAGAGCCCAGATGATCCCCATGTCCCATCACCCATTTTATCCGAGACCCCGAAACTTACCACCCCAAGCCCCTGAGCCTAAGCCTTAAGTCCTACACGCCAAGCCCTAGCCCTAAACCGTACATTTCCCAAACCAGGAAGTGTCACCGTGTAAACCTTAGCCTGAGCCTAAAGCCTAAACCCGCCACCGTGCCCCCCCAAACGCTAAGCCTACACTCAATGTGACACCCTAACCCTTTGCCCTAAACCCTCCTTGAGGATCCTTGCCAGACCTCTTGCAGAAACAATATATAGAGGAGCCATACGGAACCCCACATAGAACCATATAGAACTTGATAATCAGAACAGTAAAGAAACACATAAAGCGTTTCATCCTCAGCCACTGGGATCTGAGGCCTCACTGGACGACCGTTTGGCGGATGACGGAGGCTCAGGTGCCAACTTTCGGCAAAGCCTTCTGAGGGCTCTGGGAGTACGGGTTTGGGGTTTGGGATTTTGACGGCTGGGTGTTTTGCACACCGACGAGCACCCAGGACGTAACCACACCCTAAACCCGAAAGCCCAACGCCTACTTACTCCGCCGAAACCTTCAACTACGCAAGGCCGACGCTTGGCGATGGGTCGACCGGCCCATGCCCGAGAAATACGCTGCTCGGATCCCGTTTGTTTTCGGGTTCAGGGTATTTGTCATTTTGCTGTTTTGGTTTGCTGCTTCCCAGTCTGACGATCACTCTATACTTCGGTTGCCCTTATTTCTATGCCTGCGACGACGACGACGACTGCTACT